CTTTTTGATGTTGAAGTAGACTGAAGTACTTCCTACTCTTCTAATCTGTTCTTTTTCTTTCCACCTGTCCACCAACCTAAATGATGATACGACAGTAGTACCTTGGTACTCATCATTAATTGGTACCCAAAATGTTAAGTACCAAACCTGTTGTTTTAGTTGGAAAAGGAAGTGAGTCACGAGGCAATCAACATCAAATTCTAACTTGTGTGTCAAGTAACAAAAGAGTATTGAGACCAACTTTTGGTGTCAAAATGTCTTGAGTATAAGATTTGGTAAGTTTCAAAGCAGTTGAGTAAAAAGACATAACCATATTTCCAAATACAAGTGGCTAATTTGGGAAACTAAGCAATAGAGGCCTGTTTCAAGCTCATAGGTCTAAAGATCCCAAATGAGAAACATAAATGCGCTTTTAGTGAAAATCTGTATGTGTTGATTAGTAGTGGGTGCAGAATTTAAAGACCCTTGGTAGGCTAAAACAAGAAGACATTTTCCTGTTTTGTATACAATTTTAGCTAAGTAATGAAAGAATAAATAACTTTTAAACTGAACTACAAGTTCATTAAAGCTGCTTAATTATACCTTGTAGTATTTGAATATATATTTCTATTTGATCTAAAATGGCATAAAAATATTTGTTATGCCAAATTCAAGTTAGAAAAAATATAAAGCAGTATATAAATAATTACTTTTATGTCTTTCTTGTTAAGTAGAATTTTTAAAAAATTAGCTTGGTGTGTTTATGATTCTCAAATCTACGTTTTATTTCTAAGGGTCAAAGTTTACTTGGCATAATTTAATTATTGTTTTATTTTTAGGTTTAGAATGACTTCCATTAACCAGTTTTCACTTTTAAGTCTCTGTCATTATCAACATACATTTTATGTTTGAAACAAAAATTACTTGAGCCTGAATCTCTTGTCCAGAGATCCAAGTCCCACAAAGTTAAATTGAAACTACATGAACAACTAGCGGGCATGGGATTTCGTTCTTTTTGGACACTGTGCAACTTGATAGCTGGAACAAAAAGTACCATAATCCATGGGGGAGAAATGTAGAATTGATTGTTCTTTGTCTACGCAGCTTGCTCCCTGTTAGCTGCTTCAGCACTTGAGGGTAGGAGAGCTTAACTCTTATTGTGGTTACTCCTTCCTAAAACAACCCTTCCAAAATACAGCTGTATACTCTTGGAAATAGGATTTAACTGCATCAATATTTCTCTATTAGAAAAGTTTAATCAACTTCTCCAAGTATGACCTAAAATATGTGAGGTTTTTGAATCTATTCAGTTGACATTGATCTCTGAGTTATAGATAGGACTCAGTAAAAGAAAGCCAAATAGCAGCTTTCCTAGTGCAAAATGACTTAATTAAGCTACTCGATGATCAAAAGAATTCAAATAAGTAAGGTAGCACTTACTCAATTAAAATATGTTTGAAAACTTTACTGCCTGAATTATCTGATGGGAACCTGGTGTATTTAGGGAGATAACTACATTACTGTGGTGTGAAGAATTCAAACCAAATAGGATTGAGCAGAAGACAAGATCATCAGTAGCCTGGATAATTTAGTTAACTGATGACTCTGCAATGAGGTAATGTCATAGATAAGAATGCTTACCTTCAACTGCAGGATATTTCCCAGGCAGCAATTTGCAGAATTGTTTGGTGTCTCTCAAGTTCAAAGATAACATGAGGTATACATGAGAAAATTTTATGTGAAAAAAAAGAAATAATTTTAAATGTTTTAAAAATGGTAAAAAAGCAAAGTGATGGTAAAAAACAATTATCAAGAAAAGGACCCTAGATTGTGAGGAGTTGAATATTTGGAGTAGTTTATTTTTTTCCTTTTCTGGAAAATATTTTTTGAACCAGGGAAGGTGCCTTGGGTGTTTTGCTCTTCCTGTCTTTATCAATGATAGTAATAGCCATTAATTCAAATGCTTCATCCCTAGGTATCAAATAAAAAATAATAAATTTTAGACTGGTTCAAATTGTTAATATCATATTGATTCTGAAAACTCTCCTTCCTGACTTTCCTAGGGCACCTTCCTCTGATTAAAGATTACAGAAGAAAACCCCTCCTCAGAAAGTCACATTATGCCTTTGATCTATAAAAACCACTAGGCATTCATTTCCAAATATTCCTCTTGCCTAGCTTAGTGCCTTACAAATACTTATTGTATTTTTCATTGATTGAATAATTGACCTAGTTTTACAGGAGACCCAAAGTTAGTTTTTTAAAAAAAAGCAGGAAAGAGAAATTTAGGAGACCTGGGTTCTAGTGTCAGTTCTTTTATACATTCACCAATTAAATATTTATTCAGTTACTTGTGATGTGTGAGGAATTATCAAGGTGCAAAAGAGGAAGAATTTTGTTGCTGCAGACATAGTTTGCTAATATGTGTGCATATAGAATGTGAGATCGTAACTAGAGTAGAGCTAGCGCAGAAGAAAAGCTGGCACATTTGTAAATGATCATTTTGTATACACTTTACTTTCCAAAGTGGTTTACCTAAAATTCTGCCTTTATCATAGGCCGGTAGTGACTTTCTATGTCTTCAAGTTTGCATTTCAGATAGGAAGTGAGGCCTCCCTAAAACTTTCACATGCTAAGAGCTGTAATTAAGGTAAAAGGTCCTATTTAAATACTAATTAGCTTTCAGGACAGGAAAGGTAAACAGAACTCTAATTCATTTAGATAGTGAATTGGTCTTCCGGGTTAGAGATTTTAGCATGGCCTTCCTCTTTAGCTATGTTCTATTATGTACTGAGTTGGAGATACAGTAATGTGTTTTCTTTTCTTTTTTTTTTTTGGTACCGGGGATCGAACTCGGGTCCTTGCGCTTGGGCAGCAGGCGGCGAAACCACTGAGCTAAATCCCTGGCCCATGTGTTTTCTTAATGAGATGAAATTTTGTAAACGCTTTCTTGACTCTGGAGTTTTAGGTTTTAACTCTCCAGTAAACACTAATGCAAATAAATTTGAAAACACTGTGAAAACATCAAGTAAAGTTCTGTGACAAAATCATTAACACGTTTTCTTTACAGTTACAGGGACGATATAATCTGGTATGTTATTCCAACACAGTTATTGATAGTGCCCTTTTCCTACTCGAGTGTTTTGATTTGGAGATCAATTATGTGGTCAACCTAATCATAATCACAGATGACTCAGCATATAGTGATTGCTATAAAGGTGTGGATAAGATTGACTACATTTGCCAGTGAATAAATGTCAAGGCCTTTTCCCCTTTCATTGCCAAAAAAATGGTTAACAGTGGATGGTTTCAAAGGTCATTTTTTGGGGAGGATAACTACTTTACCAGGAATTGATCATTGCCTTTGCCAGATTTCTGGCGCTGCCAATCACCTTTGCTAAAGCAAAACAAAATAAAACCCACTGTATTTCAAAGCTGCATATCTCTGTGTTGCTGTGTTTCTTTAGTCTTTTAGATAAACTGCATGAGATGAAGTCTGTCATTGTTTTGCTTTAATATGTTTCTTCTGCTCGATTACCTCACTCATTACACTATACAACAGATGCTTAGGTGCTAGCCATCTTTCCCACATGCGGTAAGCAGTCTACCATCCTAATTCAACAAATATTGAATGAATGCAGCGCCTGGCACAGGGGAGGCATTCACAGATACTTAGTGAATAAATAGCAGTCATACCCTGGTGCCAGATGCTGAGAGCTAGTTGGCAGGAAGAGGGAGGGGAGAGAAAGCTCTAACCCAAGCAGGTTCTGCCTTCCAAGGGTTAACAGTAGCCAAGATGTAAATTAATCACCTTAATTGAAAGAATCACTAAGAGCCAAAGGAATCTCTGTGCATATGTAGGAGTTAGGGCAGCGAGATCTTTAAAGAGAGTTGGACTTTCGAATTTAGGATTTTCTCCAGTCCAGGGTTAATTACAGTTCCAGATTGAGTCTCCTGAATGTGGCCTTTCTTTGTCAGTGCTGAAGCTGTGTACTTTTTTTTTTTCTAACAATTTTGCCCTCAGGGTTAATAACTAGTCCAAATGAGCATTAACTCACTTTGTAAATATGAGTATTTTAATATGGAAAACTATAACGCAAAGAGCTGCCAATGGGTAAGGAGTAACTTCAGAAGCTGAAATATTGCAGCAGCGTTGCAAGAGAATGTGTTACACTGTTACCTTTTCATAAACAAAAGAAAACCATTCCACTTTAAGAAACTTAAAATGAGGACGGCCGTGAGGCACAGCAGTGTCGAGATACAATGCATTTAAAGTGAAGAGAACTTGCAGCCCCTACTTTAGGTTTCCTGTGCGTGTGTGCTTGTAGTTGCTCACTCCGAGACACACTGTTCTCTCAACAGGACCCGGGCCTCCCCCGAGCCAACTGGGTTCCTGGGATGCACACAGCCTGCCCCCAGAAAAGGAAAGTCCAGCTCGGGACGATCCGGTAGTGCTTAAAGAGGGCTTAAAGAGGGAAAGTAACCGGAGCCGGCCGTTGCCCCTCCCCCGAGCTGCTCCCGGGTCCTCGGCCCCGCCCCCTCTTTTATTCGGGTGGCGACGACTGGAGCTGAAACTTTGCAGCTCGAGCACGCACGCTCTGCGCTCCTCCCCGCCTGGCGTGCAGGAGGTGGGGCCGTGGCGGGAAGGCTCTGGGCGCCGCGGACTGGAGCGGGGACCCCAGGAGAGCGTGGCGCGGGGAGGAGTGAGAGCCTAGTGAGTGGCCCTGGGCTGGAGGAGCGGCACAACCTGGGAAGCCGGGGGTCTGGGGTCGCAGCCGCGCCGACCCGCAGCTGCTTTCGCCCAGGAGCCGCAGCTGTGCCCGGGGTCCCGGCGGCGGCTCGGGAAGGAGGAACTGCAGCTGGACGGTGGCAGCTGGAGGAGCAGCCACACAGCTGTCCCGTGTGCGTGCTACGGGCCAGGATGACCCACTGAGCGCGGCCATGCGGCTTTGACGGGGTGACCAGCGCTTGACCGCCACCTCTTAGTCCAGCGGGAAGCGAAGCCATTTATCATGGAACCCGTGACCAAGTGGACCCCCAAACAAGTGGTGGACTGGACTCGAGGTGAGCGGGCCTTAGGGGACCCCGGCGTCCTCTAGCCATGGGGCTGGAGGGAGCTGGGGCCTGGGGAAGGGGGCGCACAGCCCCTCTTGCGGGCGAGATGCGGTGCTAGCGCCGCGTGGGGACAACGCAAACTTCTGCCGAGTGCGCCCCTATCTCCCGTGCCTGCTCTGAGCTGTTCCTTTCAGAGATCGGTTTGTGACAAGCTCGGGGGAGCCCCGTCTTTAAACCCTTTAAAAGGGGTGCCCCTTTTGTGGAGGTTGAAGGCTGGGAGTGCGGGATTCGGGACTCGGTGCTGAGGGTCGGGCGGGGGTGCCCTCCCTGTCCTTTCTGGGTGGGTACCCGGCGACCTGGCTGCCAGTCCGCCAGCGCAGAGGCACAAGGAGCCTTTGTGTGGGTGACTCCCGCTGGACCTCGTAAATGCTGGCTGCCCCGCAGTCTGCAGGCATGACGGGGCGGTTGGACAGGTAGAGGGAGACTCTTGCGGCTAGCTGAGCCTGTCTGTTTTGGTTGGAGAAGGCTCCACGAGAGCCGGCACTGTGGCATCCGTGCCGGTTAGAAACCTAGAAGGGAGCCAGGAGTCCAGGGGAGTCCTTGGTACCCCCGGTGGCGCAGCTTTTTCAAGCCACATTTAAACGCTGGGAAGGAGAAATGCATTTTGTACAGTATTTGGGAGGAGGGAACGCCGTGGGTGTGGGCGGTGGGTCGGGGTAGGAGTTTGCACTCCTGGCTGTCCTGCTTGCTTTTTACTATAGTGCCTCCCAAGATTCCCAGGGAAAGTGCTAGAGGCTACTTAGACCTTTTTGTACTCTTCCAAGAGACCAAAGTTCACCAAGAACAAAGGAGGAATGTACTTTCAAGGGTTTCCCCCTTCCCACTTAAGCATCCTTCTGTTTCAAGTTACTATTTTTTTCCCTTCTGTCTGCTCTTTCAGGTGAGGATGGTGTCCTTTGTCAATAATAATAACTAGAATTGTGTAGCGCTTCACAGTTTGCTAAGAGCTCTCTCTGTGTTCTTGCCTTTGGTCACCACAGTAGGCCCGTGAGGTAGGTAAAGCTGGTAAGCTCAGGTCACCTTTCAACCTGTCTCACCCATGGCTGCAGCATAAGGAAAACGGATCATCTCATTTCTCATGCCTGTGCCTTTTTTTCATAGACCACTGGAATGGGATGCCTCAGGCATGTGGGATGTGTCAGTGGGTATGTCTGACCATTTCCTGCTCTTTCTGACCTTTCCAGGGAAAGGAAAGAATATACCCTCCTTGAGTAGGGGTTTGTCCAATGACTAGAATTTTAGGAACTCTTAGGCATGACAGTGATGAAGACGACAGATACCTGGGCATTGGTGACTTGATTTGCCTGGGTAAACAGTAAATAGCATTGCCAGTGCCCAGTAGACATAAAAGGTACCCATACCCATACCCTAGATTAAAATGAAGTCTTCTCTAGCTAGCAACTTGCTGAGGCTGACTTGATCTATTTTGCCTGTAAGCCCATCAGTGAGGCCACAGAAGAAACTGTTAAAGTCAGCAGTTACTGACCTCCAGAGCTGTTCTGTCCAGTCTGGTGGCAGATACTCACCTTGACTTGAGTCCTTGAAATGCTACTAGTCAGGATTGCAAAATATGCTAAGTATGAAATACACTGGACATTTGAAGACTTGGTATGAAAAAAAAGAATGTGAAATATGAGTCATAATTTTTATATTCAGTACATGTCGAAATTATATTTTGGCATGTTATATAAAATAACATTTATTACCAGGATTAACTTTGCCTATTTATTTTTCCCTTCTTAAATATGGCCCCTAAAAATTTATTGTTGCGTGGTACTCCCTTTGTGGCTTACATTCTAATTGTATTGGACGGTGCTGCTGTGGAGTAAAGAAAGGGTTACTACATCTTATCACTCTTTAGCTTTTCTAAGCCTCTGCCAGTCTACTTGATAATAATGTACAACCAGACCGATGGTAACAGGCGCACAGGAAGATTATGGAATGAGATCTTCACACCATCAAGATTTGTGTCTTTTTTTTTCTTTCTTTTGGCCCCTTGGGATTGGGAGATGAATAGTGTAAATTCACATCCTGTTATATTTGTTTAACATTTTAAAAGAAGAGCAGATTAAAACATGTTTTTGGTATCCAGTTCCTTCACGCTGTGGCTTAGTTGAGATGGCTTTCATCTAGGAAAAGTTTTCTGTTGACCTGAAAAAGCAGCTGTGGTTGCCTCAGTACCTTTGGTACTAGATTACCTCCCTGTGGCTAGAACTTGGCAGCTTCATACAAAATGCCTGTGCCCTTTTGGACTCTTACATACAGCCTCTTAGAAAAGACCTGGATACTTTCTGTGTGAAAATCTAAAAAAAGATAAAAGGAACAAATGTATGGCTAACTCTTAGATAACAAGAGGCTCTATTCTTCCAGATTGCATAACATGTTACTTAAAAATTTCTCATAATGATGTACAGGTATTGATTTTTTAAAAAACTATTGATTTATGCAAACTCCTCAGCTTATAGGACTATTTTTAGCTGTCTTTGCTAATCTCTTCACCCAACCCCATTTTCTAAATACATCCCCATGATAAGCAGCTCTTCATGTACGTTTAGCCACTCTTAGTATTGCATGAATATGTGTATGGTAATTATGAGCTTGAGGTTTACAATTGTCTGTAGGAAGCCTGAGGTTAAAAATTAACTGAACCTGGCCACATGGATAGCCTGAGCTCATGTTGATATTGCAAGACAGATTGATGCATTAGAAAAGTTGCTGTGTGCAGAATGTATTAATTTCTGTGGCTCTTATTCTTAGTCTTTAGCTACAGTGTCACCAGTTATAATATTAATAGATGTAAATATTTTCAGTGTATCAGACAAAGGCCTAAGCATTGTGTGAATAATATGCCCAAATACCCTTTGAGGTAGGAAATGTTATTTACATTTTGCAGTTGAGTAAATTGAGGCACAGAGAGGTTAAGAACCTTGGCAGTTGTCACCCACCTGGCAAATAGCATAACAGCATTTGACCCCAAATGGTTAGGTTTTATTTCAGTCCCTCTTCTCAGGCCACCTGTTGACCACATTGAAAATCTTCAGCACACTTATGAATGGACCTTCAGGATTCTATCTTTAGTGGAGGGTCATTGTATGTACATCTTTTTCTTCATATTTTGTATGTGCCACAAAATTATAATCAAATGAATTCATAGTTCATGGCACTTTGCCAGCCAAATAACTCAGTAAAAGCGTTGTAAAGCAAACGATCTTTTACAACATGTGGAGTCAGTCACACATAATGGGAAACCCATTGGATTAACCAAATGGTAGTTTTAGCTTTGTTTTGTCAAGGAATCAGGGCAGATAATGGAGGACTGGGTAACTCCTGTCGTCTGGATCTGTCATTCCTAGCATATGGCAGAACATGTGATGTTCATCCTAATGGCCTTCATGCAAAATGGCTGTTCTGCCCCAGTGTTGTATTTCTGTTCCAGGTACGAGAAAGGAGACCATAGAGAACAGAAGCGTGATGGCAACCAAGCCTTCTCTAATTCTGTCAGAAGCACCATTAGTTGAAGTGGCCTCCACCTTTTTTGTCAGAACTGGCCACTTTATGCTGTAAGGGAAGCTGGTCATTGCCTTTTTTTTTTTTTAAAGTGGCCTAGGTACAAATTGGAGTTTAGGCAGTAAGGAAGAAGGGCAGAATAGACATTGGTATGTGGTTGGTAGGATCTGCCGTGCAGGAATTTACATGTATTAATTTTCATAGGTCAGCCCTCAAAGCAGGATGCATGCCACAGTTTCCTACTTACAGCAGTACAAAAGCCAGCTATGCTTTAGAAATACAGCATTATGTCTCCATTCCTGTTTTCTTAGGTCAAAACCTTAATTTATCCAAGGTCTGTGCCTCTAAAGTTGGTTGAAATATCAGGAGTTTTGTAAAATGTGGCTATCGTGAGTTGTATTTCTGCTTACAGGCTGTTGGGGAGCGTGCTTACCACGCAGGAAGGGGAAGTGCTTTGTCCCAGCAGCTCTGTCTTACCATTGGCCTTGATCAGCCCAGAGTGGGCAGCTCTTAATTGGTGTGTGGCTGAGCAAGCACATCTGTAAAACCCAGTGTTCATCCCAGAGTTCAGGTCTCTGGCCAGCTTCTGATCTTCCCCATCTCCAACCGAAAATAAGGCCTTTTTTCCTTCAAAGGCAGAGCCTGTTGTATTCAAGGTATTTGCCCTTCTTCTTCACTGGCCACGGGCACCACTCCTTCCCTGTATTGGCAGTCCTAACGTGCCTCACTGCAGGTTCACGGAGGGGTTGGATTTCTGTGGTAACTGTTGTAGAGATCTGGTACATTACAGTGGGTCAACTACAATGTACTACATTCCGCCATGTTTTAGCTACTTTTCTTGTTGCTGGGACAGAATACCTGATACCCACAAGTGAGACAAGGAAAGGTTTATAGTATGTTAGCTCGTATTGCATAGAGGTTTCAGTCCATAGTTGGCTGGTTCCAACGAAAGGTGGCATGGCAGAGGGGCACAGCAGAGTGGCAGGCAGGAAGCAGCAAGCCTTCCTTCTTCTTTTCCTTTTTATTCTATCCTGTTGGTCGGTGCCACCCACACCCAGGGTGGGTCTTCCCTCTTCAACAAATCCTTCACCCACAGTGGAACTATGTTCCACCAATCAGTGGACTAATTCAGTATCACACATTCATGATTCAGTCACTCCCAAAAGCCCCAGCTATGAGCACATAAGTCTTTGAGGGGACATCTAGAGATAAGCCACAACACGCCGTAGGGCTCTTCCTGCCCCTGTTCACACAGAGGCCAGATGTTCTCATCATCCTGATTTCAATTTAGGGTACACCTTTTCTTTAGCCTCTATAGTCACAAAAAAGAAAAGGTCCTTGTCTTTTTAACTCTTACAGGTCCACCATTTGGCAACAGATCAAAAAACTTCATATTTCACTCTCTCCCCAATTCTGTCTCCTGAACTTAAGTGATAAAGACTTTTGTATTTCTTGTTTTGTTATTTTATTTTTAAAAATATTTTGCAGTGCCAAGAGGTAGAACCTGGGGTCTCAAGAATGATAGGCAAGAACTCTACCACTCTGCTCCATCCACAACCCCAAGTCTTCTTAATCATAATAATAGAAAAAGTTTGATTGAAGCTTTTATGCTATTGAGGCAGATGCTGTACTAAATACTTGGTTGAGACTTCCTCACTTCTCAGAAAACCCAAATGAGATGTATGTACCATTGTGAAATCATATTCAAGAAACTGAGGCAGTGAGGGGATTGGTCATATTCGTGGGCGATGGTGCAGTTGGAAGTGACCTTTTATGGGCTCACTTCACCTCTGCCCTGCCTGACTCCCGATGGAAGAGCTTGGTGGTTGGAAGCGTGGGTTCAGGAGTCAAGTAGGTTTGCCTCACAGTGTGATCTGCTGTAAGCTCTCCGTAAATCGCTACTCATGTTTTTATTGCTTCCTCCCTTTTATCCTTTAGCTCCTGGACATAAACTGTTCTCGCTGAGCAGTTAGGTCAATCATGAGGTAGATTCCGGCCATCTGGGGGCACCAGTTCATGGAAAAGAGATTTCTCTTCCAGTTGCTGACCAGTCAGAGGATTGGGATATCACTAGATCTGGAAGGTTCTTGATTCACTGAGTGATAAATGTGTCTTGCTCATATCATGAACTTTCTTTGGGTAAATCAATTCAAACCATATTTCCTCAACTTTTAGTTGTTTAATAATAACTGGCCTTTTAGTGAGCATGGCATTAAGAACGGCTCTTGCGGTCCATTGACTGCACTGGCACCTGGTCCATGACCTGCAGCTTGGGCCTCACCTGGGGGCTTGTTACAGATGCTGTGCTCAGGTCTGTTAAATCACCATTTGCTTTTTAACAAGATCCCCTGGTGATTCATGCACCCATTAGAGTTTGAGAGGCCCTGTTTTAGTACATAGCTTCAAAGGTGTTCTCAAACTTTGCTGGCAGTTATTGCTACTGTAGAATGGGGCTATCTGATCTGACATGGGCTAAATCCTATTT